CGTGCTCTCATTTCCGGACGAGCGGACGCTGGTCATCGTGACCGATTCCGCCGAGCGCGGGGTGCTCTCGGCGGACGGCGTGGTGCGCGCCGCGGCGGTGACCAAGGTAGGCTTTCTGTCGCTCGGCGCGAGCGACGCGAGGCCTGCAGCGGGCGCGGCGGGCGCGGTCGCCGACGCGGCGGGGCCGGCCGACGGCACCAAGCAGCGGCTGCAGCTCAAGGAGCTCCTCGAGGCCGGCGACTTCTTCTTCTCGCACCAGGCGCCGCTGACGCTGACGCTGCAGCGGCAGTTTGCGCTCGCGGCGGCGGGGAAGGAGGCCCTGGCGTGGGAGCACGTGGAGGGGCGGTTCGTTTGGAACGGCGCGGCGCTGCAGCCGCTCGTCGAGGCGGGCATCGGGCCGTGGCTCAGCCCGATCGTCCACGGCGCGCTCCTCTGCGAGCCGCTCGAGCCTCTTTCGGGCGTCTCGATGACGGCGTGCCTCGTCTCACGCCGGTCGTGCGAGCACGCGGGCACGCGCTTCAAGGCGCGCGGGATCAACGACGACGGCCACACCGCAAACTACGTCGAGACGGAGCAGTCCCTCCGCTTCGAGCTGCGAGGCGGCGCGGAGGGGGCGATGGCGTCGCTCGTCCAGGTGCGCGGCTCGGCACCGCTGTTTTGGGAGCAGCGCACGTCGACGATCAAGGTAAACACCAAGCCGAAGCTGACGCGGAACGCCGCGCTCTGCCTGCCAGCGCTGCAGCGGCACGTCGCACAGCAGCTGGCCGCCTACGGCTCTCCCGCCCTCCTCGTCTCGCTCCTCGACGCCAAGGCGCTGGCTGCTAGATGCGGAAGATCTCCCCAGATCTCCCCAGATCTCCTCAGATCTCCCCAGATCTCACCATACCTGCATGCCACGGGGCTCCTGTCTTTAGACGTGGAGTCGCGAGGGCTGCCCGGCCCTTGTCCCACCACCCCTGTGTGTGTGGAGAAGTTTACCTGCCCTGCCCCCACCTTGCCTAGGGCGAGGAGGCGGCCCTTGCCGCTGCGCTCGCCGAGTGCGCTGCCCGCGTGAGCGTGCCGACGGGGCAGCGGATCAAGTACGTCCCCTTCGATTTGCGCCAGGCGTCAAAGATGCATCTCGGATGCATCTCGGCCGCATCTCGGCCGCATCTTGGCTGCATCTCGCCAGGCGTCAAGGTCGAGCCGCGCCGACGGGCTCAAGGCGGGCGTCGCGCACCTCGCCGCCGACGTGCGCCCCCTCGGCCACCAGGGCGACGCTCTTCTTGACACACTCTTTCGATCGCGCGTGTCGTCTTTTAGGTGCGCTCCATCGGCCACTTGGTCGCGCAGGGGCCGCGGCTGGCGTCGGGCGGGCGGCGCGGCGGCGCGGCGGCGGCGGCGGCGGTGGTGCGGCGGACGCAGCAGGTCGGGTGGTACTAGTTGAGTGGTCGTAGTCGTGATCCCCGATCAGGATGGTCTTGTTGTTGTGGACTCAGGGCCTGGTGCGCGTCAACTGCCTCGATTGCCTCAACCGCACCAACTTGATGCTCGCCGCCCTCGGATTGCACGCCGCGTCGGCGCAGCTGCGCGAGCTCGCCTCCGCCCTCGCGCTGAGCTCGACAGCGGAGCAGGTGGCGCGCGCGTGCGAGCCGGCGCTCCTCGCCTCGCTGCAGCAGATGTGGTCCGCGACGGGCGACGCCGTGTCGATGCAGTACGCGGGCACCGCAAACATCGGCAAGGGCAGCGCGTCGAGCTTGCAGCCCGAGGCTTCGGGCAAGCGGTCGCTCATCGAGCGCGCTAAGGGCACCGTGCAGCAGGGCCGCATCGCCGTCAACCGGTACGTGCACGAGACGTTCCTCGAGGACGGGCGTCAGGCGGCGATCGAGTCGTTGCTCGGCGGCGCTGTCGCGCCCGCGGCGCTCCGCCGCTCGAGCACCCTCGGCAGCAGCGGCGGCGGCGGCGCGCGGGTGCGGCTCTGGGTCGGCACCTGGAACGTCAACGGCAAGGTTTGCTCTGAGGCGCTGCTGAGCGAGTGGTTCCGCAACGGCGCGCAGCACGAGCCCGCGGCGCCGGACATCTACTCGATCGGCTTCCAGGAGTTTGTCGACCTCACCGCGCGGAACGTGCTGAGCGATGACGTGAGCCGGCGCAAGGAGTGCGCCGCGCGGGTCGAGGCTGTGCTCACGTCGCTGCACGGCGAGCGGTACGTCGCCGTCGGCATGGAGCAGTGCGTCGGTGTGCTGCTGATGGTGTACGTCCACCCGCGGCTGGTGAGCGCGGTGACGCACGTCCGTGCCGACGTCATCAAGTGCGGCTTCGGCGTCGGCGACGCGCGCGCGGGCAACAAGGGCGGCACCGCCGTCCGGATGGCTGTCCACGGCTCGCAGCTCTGCCTGATCAACGCCCACCTCCCCGCGGGAGCCTCGCACGCGGACGAGCGCAACGACACGTTTGACGAGATCGTGGCCGGCCTGCAAAAGGCGTACGGAGAGCGGCTGCGCGGCGGCCCCTTCCCGTCGCCTCTCGAGCACGACCTGTGCGTCTTCGCCGGCGACCTCAACTACCGGCTCGAGCCGGGCGGCGCAAAGGAGGAGCAGAACCAGGTCGTGCGCGACGCCGTCGCGCAGGGCAAGTGGGGGAAGCTGCTGCAGATTGACCAGCTGCGCGCGCAGCAGCGGGCGGGCCTCGCGTTCCAGGGCTTTGCCGAGGCGAGCATCGATTTCCAGCCGAGAGCACCCGAGAGCGCCCCGAGAGTACCCGAGAGTACCCGAGAGTACCCGAGAGTACCCGAGAGTACCCGAGAGTACCTGAGACTAGGCGAGCATCGACTTCCAGCCGACGTACAAGTACGACGCTGGCACCAGCCGGTAAGCATCTCCCTTCCCTCTCCCTCGCCTGCCCCTCGCGCCAACCCTCTCCCCTCCAGCTCCCCTCCCCAGCCCCCCCTCCCTCCCTCCGCTCTCAGGTACGACTCGTCTGAAAAACAACGCGTGCCGTCGTATTGCGACCGCGTGCTCTGGCTCGAGCCGCAAGGCGCCGCGTGCAAGCCGGTCGCGTACGTCGCATGCCAGGGCGCGCGCGCGCCTCCGATTGCACGGCCGTCCCTCGCCCTTCGCCGAACCTCCCCGGACCTTCCGTGCAGGAGTGCTCGTCTCGGACCACAAGCCGGTGACGGCGCTGCTCGACTGGAGCGCGGGGAGCTCGCAGCGGACGTCTGCCGAGAGCGCGGCCTCGCCGGCGCAGCAGGCGGCGGAGGCGTCTCTCATCGACTTCGACGCCATCGACCTCGACGGCGACGCGAGCGCTCCGCCGCCGCTGCCGTCGGCAGAGTCCGCCTTTGCCGACGAGTTTGACCTGTCGGAGCTGTTCGGCTTCTCTGCCGCCGCCGAGGGGGCGGCGGCGTCCGCGACGCCCCCCTCGCAGCCGGCCGCCTTTGACCCGCCCGCGTTCGCCGCCGGTAGCGCTCCGGCGGCGTTTGACCCGCCCGCGTTTGCTGCGGGCGGCGCTTCGGCGGCAGGCGCCGCGTTTGACGCGCCGGCGTTCTCCGCCGGGGGTATGGGGGCGGCGATGCCGCCGGCGCAGTTCCCCGCCGTGGGCATGGGGGCGCCGATGCAGCCCGCGCAGCCCGCGCAGTCGACCGCGTTTGACCCGTTTGCCAGCAGCACTGCGCCGGCCTTCCCGGTCGCTTTCGGTGGCGGCGGCGGTTTCGAGGGCGGGATGCAGGGCGGGATGCAGGGCGGGATGCAGGGCGGCTTCGGGGGCAGCATGCTTGGAGGAGCGCCGGGTGGAATGCAGTGGGCGACGTTCTCGGATGCGCCGAGTCCGGCCACGGCGCCAGGCCCGGGCAGCGCGGCGCCCGCGGCGGCTGACCCGTTCGGCGACCTGCTCTCCTGACGGTGCGAGAGGCGGGGCGCCCGTGCGCGCGTGCCGCCGTGGGCTTTTGGGCGCTTTTTTTGTTTTCTTGCTGTGATACATTCCCCGGTGAGTACGGCTTTATTGATTATCGATCAACACTTTCGATAGACCGAAAGTAAGATCGTTCGGTGCAGAAACCCCGGCCATGCCCATGTAACGCAATTGTGCTCGATTTTTTTGGTAGAAGTGTCTCCAAGTCTTCTGGACCCATCGATGGCCGTCGCCTCGACGCCGCTCGTCGCGGCACCATCGTGCCCGGCCTGGGCGAAGCATCGTCGCGGGCGCCAGCCGCAGTTCGACGGCAAGCCGTGCGAGCCTGCTAAGGAGGAGGACATGTGGCTGTGCCTGGCCGACGGCCGCGCGCGCAGCACCGCCGACCTGAAGCGCCTGGCGACAGCCGCTCGGGTGCGAGCGAAACGAGCAAGAGATGCAGCCGCCGCGAACACGCGCGATCGGCAGGCGCGCGACCAGCGCCGCCGGCAGCGTGAGCAGCACGACCGACCGGCGCGCAGCGCCGGCGGTCGCCAAGACCGTGCGCCCACAACGCGGCCAGTGCGGCTGCCCGGCGCACGCGGTGTGCGGCATGTGCGTCGACCAGGGCAAGCTCGCCGCGGCCGAGCAGGCGGCCATCGACCTGGAGACGCGCTTCCACGCCTCGACGAACGTCGTCATGGACCTGGAGCGGCCCGAGGACGAGACGGCGGCGCTGCTGCAGCGCTGCGTGCACGTCTCCGACGAGACGAAGCGGCGGCTGCTGGGCGAGTGGAGCGACGAGCGCATGGCGCACGCGCTGCCGCTGCACGCATGCGCCTCGTGCGGCGTGCGGGACCCGTCGCTGACGTACACGCGGGTTGACGTGTCGGCGCTGCCGCGCACTGTGTCTGTGCGCGTAGCCGGCGGCGAAGACGAGACGCGGCACGTGTTTGAGCTCTCGCCCGAGCAGTGCGCTAAGTATCAAAAGTGTGAGGTTTGGTGGAGGCTGTAGCGTCGTCGCGCGTAAGAAGCGTGGTGAAATTTAGAAAAGGAGTTGCGGTGTTGATCGCCGCGGGAGCCCTCTTATTCCTACATCCTACGGATGGGGCGATTCAGAGAGAGAGACGACAAAACGCCGATCGGGAGTGCTCACCGTGTGGCCGGGCCGCATCGAATGCGTAGGCTCCTACTGCTACATAAGGCCATAAGCCTGATAAGAGGCGATAAGCAGTAGCAGAACCCGCCTAAGTGCGTACAGTGGCGTATGTAGAGAGAGAGATTTTAGAAAACCAACAAGAAATCACGACCCTCACAGTGATTTGGGCTCGGCAGCTTGTCAGCCCTCAGCCGAAGCTGGGGCCGGTCTCTCTCTTCGTATGTATGTATGTAGGAAGGTGAAGAACAGAGAGATTTTAAATACCAAACAACTCTAACACTCACACGTAGTATTTTTTTGTGTTGAAGAACAGTCAGGCTCGGACTGGACACCGACGCGGTATGGGTGGACGCTGGACAGATGATGACGACACGCACGAGCGACACACAGACACAAACAAGCTCACAGGACACAGTGGCGGCCACTGTATCCGGGAACTCCCCCCCCAACCTACCTGGGAAGAGAGTCCCTCGAGCTTTCGAGCTATATTGCCTCTCTGCCGGTGAACCTTCTTTTCTAGACCGGAAGGATTGAGAGCAGCCTCGCTCTCAATCCTAGAAGTCGAAGGATTGTGAGCAGCACTCCTCGCAATCGTAGCATCTCTGTGCGATTGCGAGCGCCGGCGCTCGCAATCCTACATCTTCTAGGACTAAGAGCAGCTCCGCTCCCAAGGTGACTGGTGACGCCTACGACTACTACCAGCGCGCTCGCAATCCGAGCAAAGTCTAGGATTGCGAGCAGCACTGCTCACAATCCGAGCATCATGCCTCCGATTGCGAGCAGTAGCGCTCGCAATCCTACATCTTGTAGGACTATGAGCGGCGGCGCTCACAATCGTACCCAAGATCTAAGGATTGCGAGCTACTTTTCATCGCAATCGGTGCATGTTCCCACCAGAAGTAGCTCCTATCTTCCCCATTAAGTAACACCACTACCGCCGGACTTTTTATGCTCTATTGACATTATCGGCAGCTACTGAAGCAACGATGTTGAAAAAAAATTATTG